GTGTGTGTGTGTGTGTGTGTGCGTGTGTGTGTGTGTGTGTGTGTGTGAGAGAGTGTGTGTGTGTGTGTCTGTGTGTGTGTGTGTGTGTCTGTGTGTGTGTGTGTGTGTGTGTGTGTGTCTGTGTCTGTGTGTGTGTGTGTGTGTGTGTCTGTGTGTGTGTGTCTGTGTGAGAGTGTATAGTGCGGTGGGGTCACCTATAGTGCGACATGAACCCAAGATCTGGTTAAGGCCGTCCTCATGGATACCAAGCTTGGCTATCAGCCTCTGCTCGGTGACTCTGCATTGTCGTGTATCCCGAAGTCCGCCTTGGAGAACATTTACCTGAAGATCCGAGGCTGAATGTCCTTGACCCGGTGAAGTGCTCCCCCACTGGGAGGGAACATTCCTGTCTGGTGATTGTTGCGCAGTGTCCATTCATCCATTGTCGTAGCATCTGCATGGTTTTGCCAATGAACCATGCCTCAGGGCATCCTTGCCTGCAGCGTATGAGAGAGACAATGTTGTCTGAAACACATGAGCATCTGCCGTGTACGTGGTGGGTGGTGTTCCCACGTGTGATGGTAGTGTCCATGCCAATGATCTGATATGTCTTGCAGAGGTTACCATAACAGGGTTGTATAGCGTTGTGGTCGATGTTGTCCTGAAGGCTGGGTATTTTGCTGCAAACAATGGTCTGTTTAAGGTTTGGCAGCTGTTTGAAGGTGAGAAGTGGAGGCGTGGGGAAGATCTTAGTGAGGTGCTCATCATCATCGATGACATGTTGAAGGGTGCAAAGAGCATGGCGTAGTGTCTCCACGTCTGGGAAGTACTAGATGATGAAGGGTGCCCTATCGGACATATCCCGTGTCTGTCTCTTGAGGAGGTCGTTATGGGTTTTCACTGTGGCACATAGGAACTGGTGATTGTTGAGTTGAACATTGTATCTCGTTCCTATGAGGGCATCCTTCAACACCTTCAGGTGTCTGTCTTGTTCCTCCTCTTCCCAAAGATCCTGTGTATGTGTAGGACTTGTCCTTAGGGGATGGTTGTTTTAATATGTTTCGGGAGGAAGCTAGAGAAGTGCAGCATCGTGAGGCTACCTATGGACTTGCAATAGAGTGAGGTACTGAGGTGTCCATCCCTGATGAAGAGTTGTGTGTCCAAGAGTGAGACTGAGTCTGAAGAGTAGTCCACGTAAGTCTGATGGTGGGATGAAACTTGTTGACAGCGTTGTGTAGTTTTTTTAGTGATTCCTCACCATGAGTCCAAAGGAAGAAAATGTCATTGATGTATCTGGTGTATAGCGTTGATCGGATGTTCAGTGCAGCAAAGGAGCCTTGTTCGAACCTGTGCATGAAAATGTTGGCATATTAGGGAGTAAATTTGGTTCCCATGGCTGTTCCATATGTCTGGATGAAGAACTGGCTGTCGAAAGTGAAGACTTTGTGATTGAGGATGAAGCGGATGAGCTATAATTAAAAGCCACAGCTTACAGCAACTGCTGAAGGAAAGATAAATTGATTTTCTTCAGAATTAAAGAGGCTATTATTGTAGAGAACTGTAGAACAGAGAGACCTGGCGGTTCAGGTTCATAATTCCTTGCATTTTGTGTAGTTAAGAAGGTGTTTAGCACGCTTGCCTTCAATACTCAGACCTTTGAGTATAGGAATGAAGAAGTCATGCTGAAGTTGTACAGGACATTGGTGAGGCCTGTTCTGGAGTACTGTGTCCAGTTCTGGTCACCCTACTACAGGAAGGATATAATTATGCTGGAGAGGGTACAGAATAGGTTTACCAGGATGTCACCGGGAAAAGGAGAGTTTGAGTTATAGGGAGAGGCTGAATAGGCTGTGAGTTTTATCACTGGGACCATATGAGGTGGCAGGGTGACTTTATAGAGGTTTATATAATCATGAGAGGGACAGGCAGGGTGAATGGCAGGTGTCTTTTCCCTAGGTTGGGGGATTTCAAGACAAGGGGGCATATTTTTAAGGTGAGAGGAGAAGGAAGGACAACATTTTTTACATAGAGAGTGGTTTGTGTGTGGGATGAGGAGGAAGTGCCAGAGAAAGTGGTGGATGTGGGCACAGTTACATCATTTAAAAGACATTTTGATAAAGGCTTGAATAAGAAATGTTTGGAGGGATATGGGCCAAGCGCAGGCAGGTGGGACTAGTTTAGTTTGGGATTACAGTTGGCATAGATTAGTTGGGCTGAAGGGCCTGTTTCTGTGCTGTATGACTCTACTGTGGAGTTAAGATAATTACTCACTATGTTGTTCACAGTCCTAATGTGTTCATGTATCTGAGAACCATGATATTGTAATTGTTGGCAAGCAGAGGGCCTTTATCGTTGATAGCTGGTCACCAGTTCACAGGCCAGTTACAACTTGTTGTTGGCCAGAGTGCCATTTGTACACTTCCCCCACTTCCTCGATTCCAGTTCACCTGCAAACTACACTTCAACCACTGCTGGGAACCAGCAGCTATGTATGTAAACAGCATTAACAAGGTGACTTGCTTTCAAAAACATACAGTAATGCTTTAGAAATCCAGGTTTTTTTAAAATGCTGTTTCCTCATTTCCAACCATAATTAAAGCTACGGCAAAACATTTAAGAAAAACAACAGTCTTTAGACATTCCTGACTTGTGCCTTGTGGTCAGGGGAGTCCGGAGGTGAGTCACTCACCACAGTATTCCTAGCCTCTGACATGCTCTTGTAGCCATTGTGTTTAGGTGGTGAGTCCAGTTGAATTTCTGGTCAACGGTAACCCCTAGGATGGGGGATTCAGTGATGGTAACACCATTGAATGTCAACGATTCTGTCATGAGGTGACATGTGATTTGATATTGTTACAGAATGCTGTCGAATGGGCCAAGGGTCATTGTGCACGACCTACTTTGTGATCTTTGTTTCTCCCTGTCGTGCAGTGATGTGGTACCGCATAAGCACAGTTTATGCTCTGTCACTCTAAACGTTTAGCCTCAACTACCTCACTGTTCTATATCCTCTTTTTCGTTAGTTTCACTTCATCTTCTGCATGTTCCTGTTCCTACTATGCCTGTAACTCTCACCCTGAGGCAGCGTTTGCTGTCTCTTTCCAACTTGTGGGAAGTGTATGGCTGAGCAGAGTATCATGAATATCCTCCCTAAGAACTGGTGTCCTTCACAGAGGCAACATTTTAACAGGGGGAACTGGAGCAAATATAGAATGTGCTGGCTTTCAAACCTGCTTGGAGATAATTGAGCAGACCAGAGTTCTCTCTGTTCTAACATTCACGCTGCCACATGGGCAGTTAGCCCATGGAGGAGTTTCCAGCCATTAGCAACAATTAGAGGTTGGAATTGCTACAGAAGTACAAATAATTCCCAATGAAGCCAATGCCCACAGTGGAAACCTTGTGATGTCACATTCCCAATCGAGCTGGAAAAGCCCAGCAAGTCTGGCAGCATCTGTGAAGAAAAGAAACGAGGGTTAACGTTTCGGGTCCTTTCCTCAGAGCTGGGCCACCAGACCTAAAATGTTAACTCCGAATTTTTTTTTCTTCACAGATGCTGCCAGACCTGCTGAGCTTTCCCAGCAACTTCTGTTTTTGTTCCTGATTCGCAGCATCCGCAGCTCTTTCGGTATTCATTCCCAATCTATCTGTGTGAGTGTCACTGTTGTTCCTATCCCTCCGTGAATCATGGCACTCCCCCCTCTCTCTGTTTGCAGGACGTTGCGCACTTGTGTTGCAAAGAAATTGCCAAATCCACGCTCGGAACCGACGGAGACTGGAAGATAGGGAAGACAAAGATCTTCTTCAAGGTGGTGTAGAGACCAATGGCTTTGAAGAATTTGTGTGTATCGCAGACAGAACCTATTCTCCACCAGGCCAGTCTGTTTACCTTTATATAAAGTGGGGAGTCCCATGGCAGTGAGAGGTATCAACTAACAAAGAGATTAAATCACGGCCCCACCCACTCAAAGCCCTCCCTCTGTCCCCTCCCACATTGTGTCTCTGACCCCAGTTCCTTCAGTTTACCATTGTCCCTATCTCCCCATGTGAGGGGGCAAGAGGATATAAGGACCCTACAAATGGAAAGGCTCGGTGAGTGGGCAAAGATCTGGCAAATGGAGAATAATGTGTGAAAGTTCAAAACTGTCCATTTTGGCAGAAAGCATTAAAAAAAGCATACTATCCACATGGTGAGAGGTTGTGGAACTCTGAGATGCAGAGGGATCTGGGTGTCCTAGTGTATGAATCACAAAGGTTAGTCTGCCGCTACAACAAGTAATCGGGAAAGCCAGTAGAATGTTTTTGTTATTGTGAGGGGAATTGAATATCAGAATAGGGAGGTTATGCTTCAGTTATACACGGACTGCATCTGGGGTACTGTGTACAGGGAGGGAGAGCTGGAGACATTTCTTCCCTACAACGTGCTGAACATATTTCCAATTAAAGTTGTGGATTATTCTTATGTACATGAAACTTTTACAATACCGGTACGTTAGATGATAAAAAGACACAGGAAAGAATCCACTGCTAAGTCACATTGGGACCAGAATCGTTTGCCTGGTCCAGCAGATGTGTGGTGTCATTCCATCAGAGAGTGCACCAGACCCCACAGGCTCAGCCAGGCCACAGGCCTCAGGTCTCAAGCCCTGAGTCCCGAACCCCAGGCCCCAGGCCCTGAGCCTCAAACCCTAGGCCCCGGGCCCCAGGCCTCAGGTCACAGGCCCCAAGCCCCAAACCCCAGGCCCCAGGCACCGAGCCCCAAATTCTAGGCCCCAGGCCTCTGGTCTCAGGCCTCAAGCCCCATGTTCCAGAACTCTGACATCTGGCCTCTGGCTTTAGGCCCCAAGCCTCAAATTCCAGGCCCCAGGCACCAGGCTCTAGGCTCCAGACCCTGGACTGAAATTGGGGATTGCACAGCGTAACCCTCATCTCTCTGCTCAACCCATAACCGGCACCTGCCAACTCATGATGAGTTCCACACAGGGGAGGAGGAGGAGGCTAAATCTCATCCAGTCTTTACTTATAAAGACTTACACCACATGCAAAATCACGGCTGTATTAAATGCTACGAGCATTTGAAAGACGCTGATCCTATTTGGCACAAAGTTCTCGAAATTTCGTCCACCCCTGTGGTAGCTCGGAATAAAACAAATCCCTGCCTCCAGTGCTGACTTCAGCTTCTGTTACAGGATCCCCATTGACCCTGGGGCACAATGAGATTTCTTTTCTTTATTGTGAGATGTCCCACACTTTACAGAATCCATGACTCTGCAAAAGTCCTGCTGTGACCTCCATGCGCCTTTGCTCCTCTCTCCCACCCTGCGCTGACCAGCTATATGCCCTGTGCAGTCCTTCAATGTTCTACTTTCTTTGCAGGAGAATGACCACTTGATCCTGGGGCTTGAGCGAGACAGGGTCTTGACAGCGAAAGCCATGATGATTCTGAAAGTTTTGTGGGGGTTCAAAGACAGGTGGGTTCCATCAACTTCATTCCCCACTTCTCCCCCAGAAATACCTTTGCCCTGTGCTGTTTTGTACTGTACAATCTTCACTGTATTCTGCACAATGCGTTATGCCCCTGTGTTGATCATTAGTTGTGGCACAGAGCGAGCAGATTATAATGGAACTATGTAAAATTTGAGTTGGAACCCAGCTTTGAGTTCCACATGTATTCTGCCATTCAATAAAATCATGGCTGATCTGATTTTGACCTCAGATCTACATTCCTGCACACCCCAGATAATCTTTCATCCCCTTAATAAATCAAGAATCTACCTACGTCGTTGGAGATTGGTTTTCTAGTGAGTGAATCACAGAAGGTTAGTCTGCAGCCAGAGCAACTAATCGAATATTATGTTTTATTGAGTGGGAAAGTTGAATGTAACAGTAGGGAAGTTATGCTTTAGTTATAGAGTGTATTGAATCAATCATAGAATCATAGAATCCCTACAGTGTGGAAACAGGCCATTCGGCCCAACAAGTATTGGTGAGACTGCAACTGGAGTACTGTACAGTATTGGTCACTGTACTTACAGAAGGACGTTAATGAATTGGAAGCAGTTCAGAGAAAGTTTACCAGACTAATTCCTGGAATGAGCAGACTGCCTTGTGAAGAAATGCTAGTCAGGTTAGGCCTTACTCCTCTGGAGTTTAGAAGAGTCAGAGGTGACATAATTGAAACATATAAGATCCTGAGGGGACTTGACCGAGCGGATGTGGAAAGGATGTTTCCTTTTGTGGGAGAAGCTGGAACTCGGGGTTAGAGTTTACAAATATAGAGGCACCCATTTGAAACAGAGATGAGGAAACATGTTTTCTCTCAGCGGGTTGTGAGTCTTTGGGATTCCCTTCTTTAAAATGTAGTGAATGAATAATCTTGAACTAATTTCAAAATAGGGGGAGGTGGATTCTTGATGACAAAGTGGCTGAAAGATTATCAGGGAAATGCAAGAAAGCAGAGCTGAGGTTAAAATCAGGTCTGCTGCAATTTTATTGAATGGGGAAGCAGGCTCGAAGGGCAGAGTGGCCTCCTCTTGTTCCTTGTTTATATGTTCCTATGAAGCTCTGGTCACCACAGATATGAGAGGGTGCAAAGGAGATTTCTGAAGACGTTGGTCAGAACTCACACCACACCAGGTCTTAGTCTAACAGGTTTATTTGAAATCACAAGCTTTCGGAGCGCTGCTCCTATTGCAGGTCAACTGATGAAGGAGCGAGGCTCTGAAAGCTTGTGATTTCAAATAAACCTGTTGGACTATAACCTGGTGTTGTGCGACCTCTGACCTCGTCCACCTCCACATCCAAAGATGTTGTCAGAACTGGTGAATTTTAGCTACATTGTCTAAATCCTGCCTCCTGAAAACTGGAAGTATCTGAAAACCAGACGTTTTTCTCTTGGGAGGTGTGGGTGTCACCCCTGAAACTGATTGGGTGCAGAATTGAAGTGAGCGTTCTTTTGGACGTCCTGGAAGACAGAGTCAGAGAGCGCTGTGTTGCGTGTCAGACTTGAGTCCTTCGCAATGCTTTAAGATCCACATCTGCCCCAGCCGTCCCTTACCCACCGGGCACAAAGCTGCCTGTCCCACTGCTGGGATAGAGTCAATAAGAGAGGATTACCCTCTATAAAGACCTTCAAACTCAGGGAACCCGTGATAGAGTCAGAATGCTGGAGTACTGTCCCCTGCTCTGTTTGCAACAAATTAAAACATCAGCAGGCTCATTTTGTCAATAACCTTCCTGGAAATGGAGTTCATTCCATTAACTCCTTCCCATCAAAACTGGGATCTCCCAGTGCACAATTTCACTCAACCCCAGTGCCTGAGCCACAGGAGCATGGGGTGATGCTTTGCTGAGCAGAACCTCTGGCAATGATGCATTCTGCTCTCAGTCCTGCACTCATGGATTCCCTACAGTGCGGCAAGAGGCCATTTGGCCCATCAAGTGTGCACCAACTCTCCGAAGACCATCCCACCCAGACCCACCCCCATTCCCCCCTACTCTATCCCTTCAACCCTGCATTCCTCGTGGCTAACCCACCTAGCCTGCACATCCTTGGAAACTACAGGTAGCTCTGCTATAACTCGTGTTTTGTTAACGCGAATTAGCTGTAACGTAATTGATGTATAGTGGATGCTGTTTGGATAACGTGAACTTTCTGCTGTACAGGTGTAGCGATTTCCCTATAACGTGATTTTCTATGGTACGAGGTCATGCAAGAATGCAACTATCATGTTATAGGAGAAGTACCTGTATTGGTAATTTAGAATGGCCAATTCTACCTAACCTGCACATCTTTGGACTGTGGGAGGAAACCAGAGCACCTGGAGGAAACCCACGCAGACACAGGGAGAACGTGCAAACTCTACATGGACAGTTGCCCGAGGCTAGAATCAAACCCAGGTCCCTATTGATGTGAGGCAGCAGTGAGCCACCCATTAGATAACATTATGTGACAACAGAAAGCTGGTCGTTTCCTTCAATCTAGTGATGGGTAATGCACAGCACAGCAAAATCCAGTCTTGGTCCAGGCACAGTCTTGGTCACTATGGCCCCAGATTTCAGACATGAGGTATCAGATAGGATTGGAAAGGCTGTGGTTGGTTTCACTGGGACAGAGTAAGCCCAGGGGTGATGTAAGTGATGTGTATAAAATTATGAGGGCGTAAGATTGGGTCAATGGGGCTAAAGTAGAACAGGAGGGACAAGCTTAGTTAGTAGATGGAGTAGGGTGGAGTTGAATTAACTTGGGGGGCAGGATGTGATAGCCTATTGGTATTATTGCTGGACTGTTAATCTAGACACCCAGATAATGTTCTGGGAACCTGGGTTCGAAACCCGCCATGGCAGGTGGTGGAATTTGAATTCAATAAAATATCTGGAATTAACAATCCAATGATGACCATGAATCCATTGTTGATTGTCAGGAAAAACCCATCTGGCTTACCAATATCCTTTAGGGAAGGAAACTGCCATCCTTACCTGGTCTGGCCTACATGTGACTCCAGACCCACAGCAATGTGGTTGACTCTTAACTGCCCTCTGGGCAATTAGGGATGGGCAATAAATGCTGGCGTAGCCAGCGAATGAATAGATGAATTAACATGTTTCACCCAGAGGGCATTAGGGATGTGGAACTCACTATCTGAAAGGAATGCTGAGGCAGAAATCCTCACCATACTTGAAGATTACTTGGATTTCCAGTCGAAGAGCTGATTACAGAGCGAATGAAGAAAGGTAAGATTAGAGCCTTGCATTGACCAGTGCAGATCTGATGGGCTGAATGGCTTCTTCAGTTGCCTAAATCTTCTGTGATGAGAGAGAGAGCAAACAAAGCAAGCAGAGAGGGGAGGTAGTGTGCGGCACAACATCATTTAATACAGGATACCATCAACGGCAGGTAAATAATAAACATGCTGTCAGCAAAGATTGCAACCCAACTATGAACCAAAAGTATTGCTGTAAATAAGTTGTTTTTATCTACCGAGAGACTGGTCACCCTGCAGCACTAGACTTGGTTTTTATTAATTATCTACTTAAAAGTATCAACTGGCAGCTTAGTGAGATGTCTATCTGGAAGGCATCTTAGCACCGACTCCTTAAGAACACTGTGATGGCAATCTGCGCCCAAACTAACCTGGAATTAAGTTCACCCCTTCATCTTCGCTGTCGGAGTTTTTGAGTGAAGAGTTTTATCATTGATCCGTTAATGTTAACATCAGTGTCATGAGCAATATTATTTGAATCTATTGCACTAGGTCTCTCTTTGCCAGAGTCAGCGCCTCCCTGGCTTCAACAGGTGGAAGATTCCTCACTTAACTCCAGTAGTTTCCACTGATTTCATCATCAAATTTACTCTGTCAGTGCCTCAAGGTCTGTTTTGACTTGAGGATCCAAAGGACCTTAATTCGAGAGTAATTCACACTCATAAACCACCCAAAATACAGGAAAACAGATCATCATTGCAAGACTGTTTCAGACTTACCTCACATTTTTGACAATGAATTTCTTATTGTGCGGTTATGAAATTATGTTGAAGTTAGAAATTTGCAGTGAATTCTGCCCTCCTGCTTCCTAAGAAATGTTATAACCACCTGCAAGGCTGTGTGTCAAGTTGTAACCTTGTAGTTTACTCTGATTCAATTGTTTATTTACATTGCTTCTACATCTGGATGCATAGAATCCCTACAGTGTGGAAACAGGCCTTTCGCCCAACAAGTCCACACAGACCCATCCCCCTATAACCCACACATCTCTGAACGCTATGGGCAATCCACCTAGGCCTGCATATCTTTGGACTGTGGGAGGAAACCGGAGGAAACCCACGCAGACATGGGGAGAATGTGCAAACTCCTCGCAGGCAGTCACCCGAGGGTGGAATTGAACCCGGGTCCCTGGCGCTGTGAGGCAGCAGTGCTAACCGCTGAGCCACGGTGCTGCCCTATAGTAGCTCCTTCAGACCGTTGCCTTATATGACATGTCTCAGTGGTTAGGTGAAGAGTATTGGCAACACCGAGGCACAAAAGGTAAGATTAGATGTGGAGTTGGCGATTTGGAATGGTTTTACTTTGATATTTTCATTTCTTCATTGCTCTGACAGAATGACCTTTTTGAGACTGAAGTCTGCGGCTCGCACAATCCAGAATCACTGGAGAGGATACCAGTGTCGCACGAGATACCAAACGGTAATTTTATCCTCCTGAACATATCATTAGCAGCAGCCTCTCAGTCTCTGAGAACCAGACGGCAAGGCTTCAAAGTAATTCACAAAAGAAACAAATTAGAAGTGAGGGAAAAAAATAAAACTCCAAACAACACATGGTTTCAGTCTGGGATGCACTCTCTGAAAATGTGTTGGAGAGAGATTCAGTTGAGGCATTCAAAAGGGCATTAGGTGACAACTTGAACAAAAATAGTGAGCAAGGCTACGGGGCAAAGATTGGAGAACAGCACTAAGCCATGGTGCTCACCTAAGAGCCAGTGATGGGCTGAATGGTCTCCATCTGGACTGTATTGTTTCTGAGATGGTGGGATTGTGCCTGGACTGACTAGAGCACTTCCTCTCATCACAAGGAAGGAGGCAAAGCTCTGTTAACCCAAAGCTGTGCCATTGTGCTGCCTTCTCCTGATAACCCCACACACTCTTACCTTCCAGATAAGACCATAGGAACAACAGGAGGTCATTCAGCCATGGACACTACTCTGCTGTTCAATAACATCGTGGCTGATGTGATACTCCTCAGCTCCATTTTCCAGCCTTTTCCCCTTAACCCCTCCTTATTAAAAATCTGTCTATTTTTTTTTTAAGAATCCCTACAGTGTGGAAACAGGCCCTTCGGCCCAACAAGTCCACATTAACCCTTGCAGCATCCCACCCAGACCCATCCCCCTACAGCCCATACACCCCTGGGCACTATGGGCAATTTAGCATGGCCAATCCACCTAGCCTGCACATCTTTGGACTGTGGGAGGAAACCGGAGCACCTGGAGGAAACCCACACAGACACAGGGAGAATGTGCAAACTCCACGCAGACATTTGCCCAAGGCTGGAATCAAACCCAGGTCCCTGGCGCTGTGAGGCTGCAGTGCTAACCACTGAGCCACCGTGCTGCCAATCTATCTCAGCCTTTTATATACTTAATGATCCAAACTCTATAGCCCTCCGTGGTAAATTATTCCACAGATTCATTATGTTCTGAGGAAATAAATTCCTCCCCATCTCTGTCTTAAATGTGCAATTCCCTATTCTGAGATGATGCTGTCTGATCCTAGCTTCTCCCACAAGGGGGAACATCCCCTCCACGTCTACCCTATCAAATTTCCTACAATCTCTGCTAAGAATCTTGTATGTTTCAGTAAGGTTGCCTCTCATTCTTCTGTATGCTCAACCTCTCCTCATAACACTGTCCCCCCACCGCTACCTGGAACCTACCTCTCCGACTGCCTCTAATGCCAGTATATGTGTCTTCAGATAAGGGCTCCAAAACCGTTCGCAGTATTCCAGATGAGTACAGTTTTCTCAAAGCCTTCCTATTTTTACACTCCATCTCCTCTGAAATAAAGGCCAATATTCCATTGGCCTTCCTTATTACCCGCTGAGCTTGTATGCTATCTTTTTGTGATTCATTTTGATTCACATTAGTGGCTCAGCGGTTAGCACTACTGCCTCAAGGTACCAGGGACCTGTGTTCAATCCTCAGCCTTGGGTGACTGTATATGTCCTCCCTGAGTCTGTGCAGGTATCCCTGGGGTGCTCCAGTTTCCTCCCACAGTCTGTAGATGGATTGGCCATGCTAAATTGCCCATAGTGTGTCCAGGGATGTGTAGGCTAGGTGGGTTAGCCATGGGAAATGCAGGGTTACGGGGATAGGATAGAGGGATGGGCCTGAGTGGGATGCTCTTCAGAGGGTTAATATTGACTCAATGGGCCAAATGGCCTGCATCCACACTGTAGGGATTCTGAGAAATCCCTCTGTTCCACAGTTCTTATCTGTTTAAATAATATTCAGCTCCTCTATTCTTCCTTAGAGCAGAACCACATCATTTCCTGTCTGCTGAGATTTTGCCCATTTACTTCCTGAATTTACTCAGATGAAGGGTCTAGGCCCGAAACGTCAGCCTTTCTGCTCCTATGATGCTGCTTGGTCTGCTGTGTTCGTCCAGCTCTACACCTTGTTTACTCACAGAACTGTTCAGTTTCCCCTTGAAAGCTCTGGTTGAATCTCTCTGGCAGCTCCTTCCAGGTGCAAAACAATCGATGTGTGAAAATGATTCTTTTCCAATTGCTTTTGCTTCGGTTAGCAAAGTATTTAAATCTGCGCCCTCTCATTCACAATGACAATCCTCCCGATTCGCTGAGGAAGGGTCACTGGACCTGAAATGTTAACTCTGATTTATCGCCACAGATGCTGCCGGATCCGCTACATTTTTCCAGCAATTTTTGTTTTTGTTTTTGAAACAAATGGGACAGTAGGATTATTGTTGGATTAATAAAGGACTATGAGGACAAAATGGGAGGTTTGAAGCCTGGTAACTGCTTAATACAGAACAAGAGTTTTGAGCATTTGAGCTAATCTCTCCCCATGTGTCAGATTTTATTTGATCACAGTCCTGCACCCTTCCAATATTACTGTATTATGCTATATAAATGCAGGCTACTGTTTATTTTGACTTCTGTGGAGTGTTGGCAGTGAGATTAGTTTTCCCATCAGGCTGTGACGTTAGTTTGGGATTTATATACGGCTATAGGGAGAGTGTGGGATAGTGG